TTTATGAGTTGCCCAAGGCCCCTAAAGCAATAATAGTTCGAGAAAAGAAAACGCGATAAAAGCGCGCATTATCGAAATAATTCAAAGTGGCAAAATACAAAGTACCAAAGTTTTGCACAAAAAGCTATACCTACAGAGACAAGGGATTGCAACGATCTCGTTAAAAAGTTATAATGACACTAAAGTGCACACCAGATTGTGTCGAACACTCAAACTCTCATGCTCTTCGATGGACAACTGAGTTGCACCATATGCACATAACTCATTGCATTATAAATGTACTGTACTCTATTGCTGTATTGGGTGACAAGAGAGTCGTAAAAGCAAAAATGGCATAAATCGGCTTATCGAGCATTTCTCTCATGTGCGGATAAGTTTTCAAATTAATATTTAAATATCTATAATATTATTTTTCTCGTTTGCAATAATTTTCAATATATTTCTTTTTTATCTTTAAAAATGTAAAATATGTGACATAATATGTAAAAATTGTGTAAATTATAAATATTAAGATCAATGATACATATAAATTAACATGCTGAAAAAGAATAAATATGAAACAAACATTGCAAATGCAATGCTAGAATGCAATTTCTAATGGGCGTGCGAGATTTACTATGATTCGCCCTCAGAATAAAAAACAATTAGAAATTTAGAATTATTCAAACATTAGGTGTGCAATTTTCTCATCAATTTAATAAAATTAAATAAATAATAATAATAATAATAACAATAAAAAAAAAATTTGAGAAATAAAACAAGTTTGAACAAATATTAACGTGCAAAGGTTAATGTAGACAATAATATACATGTACTTGACATATAAAAAAAATGCATCATTTCGTTCGAAAATCAGTAGACAACAATATTTACCCCAGCGTAGTCATCGTGACGATAGTGTACCAGAAGGCGGATGGTATCGAGGTGAAGTTGGTCTCCTCGACGTTCTTCTCCGCGTAGAACATGACGGTGGCGAAGATGATGATGGCCATCGCGAGCGAGAACACGAGAAAACCCAGCTCGGAGGCGCAGGACTTTAAGGTGTAGCCCAGAATCCGTAGTCCCTGCGAGTGCCGGGAGAATTTGAAGATCCGGAACACGCGGAACACTCGCAACGTCACGAACGCGCCCGATACGTCGTCGTTGTCGGTGATTCCGAGCCCGATGTAATAGGGCAGTATCGCGACCACGTCGATGACCGACATCACGGAGCGCGCGAACTTGCACCGGTTGGGCGCGGCGAACAGCCTCAGCAGGTACTCGGCCGTGAAGATCATCACGCACGCGGTATCGAGGCAAAAGAACACAATCTTGTAGCGCTCGCCGCACGAGAGAGTACCGGCACGACCCGGACGATTCCCGCACGGCACGGTCTCCACCACGTTCGCCAGTACGCTCACAGCGATGAAGAATCCGGTAACATAGTAGAAGACTAATGCGGCGGTGGAGATGTGCGGATTTTGGAATGCTCGCCACATCTTCTCCCGGATATCTAGCACTGCTGGAGGGTCTGATCGCCGTTCTCGCTCAGCTTGTCGTCCATCAACCGCTCGGCGTTCTCGCGCTTGCGATCCCGATAGTCCTCGTAACAGCAGTCACCGATCACGTCCGGCAGGATGCCGAAGAACGCCAACTCCTCGTCGTAACTCGTCAGGCACTCGTGCTTTGGGTAATGCAACTTACCGGTTCTATAATAATTGAGAATGTGCCGGAAGATGTCCGGGTCTCGGTCGAAGAAGTACTCCTTGCTATCTTCGTCGTAGAAGAACTCGCGCTCGTTCGAGCCGAGCAATGTATCCGGATACTTCTCCAGGTGTTGCGCCATGTCTCGAAGCGACGGCCGCTCACGTTGATCAGCAGTTTTTTCGTCATCAGCCTTGCGCCGATCCTTGGGGATCGGCGGCGGTGGCAGTGGATGTGTGGCAATCGGCACCCAGCCGATCGCCGCCGCCCGGGCAAATGGTAACCACGCTGCCACCGAGGCCATGCTTGATGGTGGAATCTTCCTTCAGGATAGCGGGAGAGCCAGCGTCGATTTTACTCGAAGCGTCGGCGACACGCTCCACTCTCGAGTCGACCCTCCTTCTTCGATATGTCTGAAGATCTTCGTTCTCTTTCAGGATGGCGATCTACAGCTACGACAAATCTAACATCCACGATTCGACCCGCATCGCATTATTCTCTTACCGCAAATCATTTTTTTTTCGACAAAAGATGAAATTCTTCGATCGAGTAGAGTACATCGATTTTTTTCGCCGGTTCGGCATTTATGAATTGAAATTTACTACACCGCTTAAATGTTCGTCGATATCTTGACGATATTTGTCTTGCAACAACTTAAAACAATTTTTTGCATCCGCGAGACTGGCAGCTCTCCAAAGATGTCTCCTAAATATCCTTCTTCATATCCGATAAATTCTTTAAACTTAAAGACTTCCTCTTTCCAATTTGTGACGTGGAAAACACATCACTTCTTGTCTCGGTTCTTCTAGGTCAGCTTGAGCTGACGTTCGTTTGATTCATGCTTTTCAAGTCCGCCGTACGATCACTGTATATGACTATTAGCCTACATCTCTCAAAGAACGATCACGCTACTAATCTCTATTTTTAATTCAAGTTCTCCTCAGTTTCTAAAACGTTTCTCTAGTCTGATCTTAACTCTCTTACATTTGAGAATTCTACTCGCTATATATCTTCCGCACGATCGGCAGCCGCTCTACTTCCATCTATTTGTTTGCTTATTTATCTACAAATCTATTTATTTATCTACTCGTCGCGTGGTTGAGTACACTTAATACTCTTTTCAAAACGAAGTTTTTTCTCCCGCCGGGAACAAATTTCCAATTTCTTCAAGAATTTCTTATCGTCGTTCTTGCTCTTCAAGATGCAGATATCGAAACCAAGACTTGTTCCACTTTGCCGTATTCGTCATCATAAATTCTACGCGTTGCAATGATATTCCGAAAAGACGCATTAACAATTGGCTAAGCAACATTTGTCTCTTCTACGCTGCAACGAAGACGATGATGACTTAGGCGTTGGCAGCCTAAGATCGGGCATCAGCCCGAAATTTGTCATTTCGCGCCTGGCATTCCTCACGGAATTTCTCTCTTCTCTTATTTTGTTCTCGAAAAATGATGAAGCTTAACGAACGATGACCGCCACATAGCAGCAAAGCACGAGCCGAGCGGAGACGCGCGCCGGACTAACCAATCGTGTTCTGGCAACGTGCCTTCCACCATCATCGATAGTCGCACGATAGCTCTTCGTGAGGCTCTTCGGGATATCGCGCCGAAAATCTTCCACCTGTTTCGGCTCGCTTAGCCACCGTGACAGTCTGAGCTTGAGTCTCCGCCAGCGAGCACCTAGAACACTACATTCTCGAGCTTCTTGCAAGCTCTTTGCCTTCGATCCTTATGTAAATTTTTCGAGTGCACTTTTCGAAAAGGCGGCTGTCGACGACATCGTTCATCAATGGAATGGACTCGATATATCTATCGAGTCGGGAGAGCTTCACCAGTAACAAGTAACAAAACGTTTTCCTTTCATTAACGATAACGAGAAAGCTCGTTTCAAAGGCTGAAGACAATTATGACGCGACAGTAATTTCAGAATTGCGAGAAGATTATAGATTTCTCTAAAACTTCTCTTCTGTTGTGAGTTAGAGCTCGTGTATATATATAGAACTATTCACAAAATATTATTTAAGACACTATGTATCGCGATGTCAGCTTCCTTCAAAGCGCTCGTGGATGCCAGCTGGCTAAAGATGAGAAGAATATTTTGCTACGAAGCCTTTTGTGTATTACCCGGGCGGACAATTGTGAACTCGTTCATGTTCGCGGAATTAAAATTCACAGGGATAAAGCCTTGCCGAAGATGCTCTTTAGAATAGATGAGAAAATGCTTACGAGTAGACACCAAACAGTCAACGAAAGAGGAGCGTCCACAGCTTCTCGGCGTGCTTTTTTAAAGTTTTGCCGTGGGAACAAAAAGAGAGGCGTTTGTCATTCGCTCGTACCAAACAAGATATACGTTCATCGAGCACTTTAATAGCGCACGCGAATTTTTTTTTTTTTTTTTTTTTTTTTGATCGCGCAAACTCGTCCCGCGCAGTGGAATCTATCTTCCCATCTATGGTCCCAGACTTCTTCCTCCTAGCTTCTTCCTAACTTCCTCCTAGAGAACACGAAATCTCTTACGCGTGACAGCTTACGCAAGCGGCGCGCGTGCTTCTTCCACGATGCATCCAATCCGTCAGACTCTACACGTACATTCCTCGCGACAAGTCGACTCGCCGATCCCCGGATGCTCCGGGAAGCACTCGAGTTGGCCGAAAAGCTCCACGACGGAATTTTCCCCGAGAAGGTAGCGCGTCTCCGCAAGCTCCGGCACTGGGAGCTCGCACGTCGATCTTCCCTCTCAGGCGTCCGTCTCGACTATTCTTCGCAAGCTTGCGCGCACTACGATCTGCTCACGAGCCCGACTATGCCCGATGCTACTTCGTGCGCGAGTACACGGTTTTCCTCGCGCCCCGAAAGCTTCTCCGTCGCTTCTCCCGCTGCGGGATACGACGCGTCGCACGCGCGAGCAGTGCGTACGCGCGCGTGGCTGCGCGCGCGCGCGAACACCCTCGTGTCTATACGTGGCGGCCGTGTACGTATATTATGTGTAAATATATGTATATATGTGTGCGTGTGGGTGCGTGTGCGTGTGGGTGTGTATGTGTGTGTGTAATGCGCCTTTGCGCGCGCTGCACTGTCGCAAGCACCCACGCTGATGCACCCGCTCGATGAGTTGGCCGCTCGCGACTACCGGAGCTTAGTCCCCGGTATCGAGTTTATGTGAGTTCACGGTGGTGGTGCGGTGGTGGTAGCCCGGCACCTCTAGAGAAGCGTGGCTCTCGTCGCGCCTCGCAAGAGAGAGAGCGGAGCGATCGTGTCGCAGCAGCGCCGAGAGAGTGCGGAGCGGTCACCTAGCCAAGGTCTAAATTGATTTTTACGGCGGTGGCGGTGGTGGCGACGCGCGTCGGCGTCCCGACGTGGTGAACGTTTCCCGTTGCCCGGGCAACCCCTCATGATGACGTCACGGTTCCCACCATCCCCGTAGTCTCTCCGCTCTTTCCGCCTCCGATCTGCCGCCGCTAGGTCCCTAGTATTTCCACTTTAGCCTACTTACGCTTTGAGGAACGCTGGCTTTCAGCTTCGCTCGCTCGCTCCATTCGCGCGGTCCTCTTAATGAGAGGGAAAGAGAGAGAGTGGCAAAAGTTATTTGCCGCCGAGTCCGTTTCTCGCTTTCCACACGAACCCTCGTATTTATCGTCCTGTTGCGGTTCCTCATATATTTGCATTCATTCATTCATTCTTTGTTCTCATTGCCGGTGTTCGTTGCGATTCTCTTCGCGTAGATGCACCCCAAAACCCTTCGTGTTTCCGTCGACGAAAATCCTTTTCCGTTGTCATCCCGTGCAATCAATCTTTTAGTACGCGAATCATCTTTCCCATTTATTTGAAAAAAAGTCCATTCATCATTTATGCGTTTTAATATATATGAAACGTCTGACTTATTCTACAGTTATACTACTATTTTTACGCAACTACTGTAATCAAACTTGCTCCAGATTTATTCCGACTAGTAAAATCTATCGCTCTCAATTAACTCTCACCCTTGACTTTTTTATACATATATGTATAATGTGTTATAAACGAAAAACAAAAAATAAATATATATTTTTCCAACAATTAATCAAAAAGTAAAAAAAATCAATCATTCTCTTTCTACTTAATTCGCACGCGCAATAAATGTGTTAAATAAAGTAAAAACGACTCTTTATTTATATGTTGCTTCGGTATCTCACGATCAACGCTGAAGGCAATTATATAGCTAAATCCGATCCTATTATCTCCTTGTTTCTTCTCAATCTCCGTTCCGTTTCCTCGCGGCGAACAATACTCTCCCATTCTGTCTGTTCCTTCCGCTACTTACTCTGCACTCTTACGCTTATTATTCGCTTAGCCTAATCCCATTCTTTTCGAAGTTCTTTTCATTTACCCTTCTTATATTTCCACTGCTTCCCTTCAATCAGTATTAATCCCATTATACTTATGTCCTTATTTCTTATGTATTTTCCCTCTGTACTAAAATTTAGGATCATATTTGTATTATCCCCTTTATCAATTTTCCTTCCTACCTCCGTCACTTCTTTTTATACCTTTTATTCTCGCGTATCTCAACTTTTCAACTCCACTCTCTCTCTCTTTCTCTCTCTATTTCCCTCTCATTTGTATCTTTAATTTTACAATTTAATTTTAATATCGTTAAAAAATTTAAAATTGTATGACAATATGATATATTTATTTAATGAATGATTTAGGAAACGTAGCTGCTTTCGAATTTTCGTAGCTTTCGACATATTCTACTATCCCTCATTTTGTGTTCATTATCGAGGCAACTCTACAGATCACGATCTCGTCCCGGTATTTCGCGCTTTTTTCATCTGACAAACACGCCGAGAAATAAAACGTCCTCTCTTTTTCTTTTTTTTCTCAATACCACTCTTCACTCCTCTTCATTACTGCAGGTCTCACACGTCTGCCTTGCTCATCCGCTAAGTGTTGCGTTATTTCAGTTTCCTACTAGTAGTGAGACAGACGCTTCGTTTAAGCTCCCATTCACATCTGTCTTCAACAGAATAACGCGCAGGTGGCTTCACGTTTCTCTACCATGTTGTCAGGCACTCTGATAGAAGCCCTTCGTTGAGGTAAATAATGCACAGCAAGTTTTTATTCGTCATTATTGATGAAATTCGACGTAATTTTTGAAAATATACGTGATTTAATATTAATTTAAGAATAAAAGAAAGCAATCTTTGTTATATGTATAGTAGATCGCATATGATTATTAAAAAGATAAATGTAAAATAAAATTTCCTAAGCTTTAATTCAAAATTACATACATATATGTATATGTGTGTGTATATGTAATCAAGAATTTATCTGGCGATATATAACTCGTTTCTCAGTATCTTTTTTATTTTTATTTTTTACTTTTTCTGTTATTCTTTTTAAACTTACAATTAAAAGTAAATTTAAAAGCTTTTTAATTTTAATTGATATTTTTATTAATGTTTATTCAATAAAAATAATAATTAAAAAATTCGCTTTTAATTACAAGTGTAAGATAAGTAACAAATGGCAAAAAGAAAACAAAAATACAAGAAAGAAAAACGAGTACTACGTCGTCAGGTAAATTCTTGACTCTAATGAACGTACGAAAGTGTGCATCTTGAAAACAAAAGTATACATTCTCTAGTTTGGACCAGTAATTTGTTCCATATTTATTTATATAATATTTCTTGTAAAAAAATTTGTGAAATATTGGGGAAATAGGTAATAAGTTTGATATAGTCACGCAATATTCCAAAAATAATGCAATGAGTGAAAAAGATGAATATGATTATACAAATATTCTATTTCCAAATAGCTATTATTCGAAAATATCAATTTTGGATAAATACAGATAAATAAAACAAAATTCTGAAAAATTGTAAAAATTAAAAATACGACTGAAATATAGTACAGCATTGTTGTTTCTAAATTATACATAATACCAATGTTTGTAAATAAATCTCATGTAGAATTATAATAAAAAAACATAACAAAATATAAATTTACTCAATAAAAATAAAAATTATTTTTTTAGAACGATGTTTACTTAAAACGCGACCATTTATAATATATCTTTTTATGTATATTTCTATTTCTTTTGTGTATATTCTAGAATTAATAAATAGTAATTTACCGCTATCAAAAAATTCTAAAAACCCGTAAATTAGATATGTTATATCTGAAATAAACGAAAAGTTTGAACACAAAGCGACGGAAATAACGATACGTCGCAATATGATCTTCTTCCGGCCGATTTTGCAAATACAACTTTTCAGATCTGCGGCCGCCTATTTCCCCAGTATTTCCTGCAAACGAGAACCCATATCTCTTTTCCGTATTTTTCTCTCTTTTTTCTTTTTTATGCGGAACTTTTCAATTAACGTCGTGTTTCCCTACGTAATCGACGATGTTTTTTGTCGAGAGTTTTTGCCATCGTTATTGCGGCGAAAAAGACAAAAGAAAACTTGTATCATTCTGCTGAGTGCGTGGATATTATTGTACTGCAAATTAAAAGGGCTGCGTCTTAAAAAAAATGTTCAGCAACTATAATAAAATGCGTAATCTTTATTATATTAAGTAAACTTTACAATTAATGTGTAGTCTTTATTTATTTATTCAATAATAATTTATTCAGTATAAAAATTCAAAATTCCCGTATTTTCCATTGCCAAGTAATAATTGAAAACTTTTATATTATTATTAATATACATATATAAAATCAGTAATGTATGTACAAATGCACACATGCGTGCATATCTGCAAAGCCTTATAATATATGCATAAAGTTTTGTTATTTACAACAAATATTATTTTTATAACTTGTAAAAACACACATTTAATTAAAAATAAAAATAAAAAACAATAAAAAAAGGAAAAAGGAAATTTATATAAAATATTTATATTATATCTAAAATGTAACGATATATGTTGTTGTTCCGTATATTAAAGAACTATTGTTTAAATGAACCTTTCCAATGTTTATTAGAATTAAATTAGAATTTCTATAAAATAACACAATAAAACACACACGAATATATTTTCACAGAGGAATCTTTTCATGATACTGTTCCAAAAATAAAATCACTGCAGTATAAAAAGCTGTTTGCTTTTACAGCTAGCGAATCTGAAATCTTTAATCCCTAAAGATCAACAGAATTTAAGGACGAAATTATCCGACCAGAAACAAGGCCAGCTACCATTGGAAATGCGAAATGCTTGGTAATTACGCCGAGTCCATAGTAAGCTGTTCGTTAAAAATCTCAAATCTTTTCCCTTTTTCCTTGATCCGCAAAATTATTGGCAGAAACAAAAATCTTAGGATGCAATATGGTGCAAATGTAAACGTTATTATTGATACGCGTTATTAATTATAAAATAATTTCAAGTTATAAAATAAATAATTTTAAAATAATCATAATAAAAATAACTTTATGGATTTTGAAATTTAACGCTACATTTATTGTAGCAAAATTTATTAGTTTATTCTCACTTTATTGATTACTTTTATATAATTAAGTTTATTCTTTTCAAATATATAACATTTTTATTCACTGCTTTTATGTGAAAAGATTTATCAATTATATAAAAGAAAACATTTTTTATTTAAAGATAATTAAATATATATACGACTGTAGCATTTTATGTAAACAAATTTTATGAAAATATTTATCTGTACACTAAAAAAAATTTATTGAATTCGAATAAATATTTATTTCAATACTACCTTATAAATCATTTATGTAAAATTAATAATACTGATTTGGTTTAAAAAATATTTAATTGATATAAGAAAATTCTTTTCAAAACAGATAAATATTTATTTGTTTCAAATAAATGATTTATAAGGCAGTATTGAAATAAATATTTATTTATTTAGTAATTTTTTTTAGTGCATATGATTTCTAGAAATACAGTTAATTGATAAAATTTCTTAAATCTTAGTCAATCAATTATTTCTTGTTATAATAGATCCCTTATAGAAATTTATTACTAGTAACGCCAATTTGTCACTTATTTCGAGTACTTAAATTACTGTGTTGCCCAATTGATTCCCTGGTATCTTTATTAAATTACTGTATATCAGTATTTTAAGTACTCGAAATAAGTAATTAATTGACGTTACTAGTGATAAATTTCTACAAGGGATTTTTTTGCAGTCTCTTGCAAAAAAATAGAAAAATTTTCATTATCCAATATCAAAATTTTAAATAAATTTTTACTTGTAAGATATTATGTAAAGATAATAATAAGCAAATAGATTGCAAGTAATATATCATAAATAGCATAATCAGCACGCATAAACTGTAAATTTAGAAATTTAATAGATCTTTTAAGAGAATTATTTAAGAATATCGGATGACATATAGAAGTGTTGAAGGTACAAAAGCCTTCAAGAATCTCATGTCCTTACGCAGAGGCAATTCTACGTGTCCGTCGCTTAGTTCCCAAGAGTTTCGATCCTATCAAAAGTTGTATCGCCGCCTCCCTATGTGGCCGTTTACTTTGTCAAAAGTTACAGCTTCGAGTAACGAGTAAGATAGTTCTTCTTTGAAAAGTTATGCTATCGCATGCGATGCGCCCGCGGTTTCGTCTCGCAACTCATAACTATAGATCTCTTATCAGATTGAACTGATTCGCAAGAAAATTATACAGAAAATCACGCTTCTCATCCCTTTCTAAAAAAGGCATCCCTTTTGAGTGGTTTCGACTAGTTTCTCAATTAGAAAAGGAAATCGAAATTTGGTAAATAAAATTATGTTTATATAGAAATTTAGTTAATTTAAATTATGTATTTAATTATATAATAGAAATTCGGCAAATTAAAATTATGTATATAGGTATAAATTGCTAAATTTCTATTATGTATATATAATTTTAATTCCCGAATTTTTATCATGTACAATACATAAATTGGATCCTCATATTTCTATTAGGTACATAATTTTAATTTATCATATTTCTTTTATGTAAATAATTTAAATTTGCCCAATTCTATTATGTATACAATTAATACTCGTATAATATTAATTTATAATAATATTAATTTGTTGCATTATTCTTTTTTGTAGATAATTTTAATTCGCTGAAGTTCTATTATGTATATAATTTTATTCTTAAATTTTTATTGTGTACATAATTTTAATTCTTGAATTTCCATTATGTTTTAAATTTTGATTAGTCAAATTTCTACTAGTACAATACATATAAGTATTCTTGAATTTCTATTACATTATAATTTCAATTTACCAATTTCTATTAAGTACATAAATTTAATTGATCGAATTTCTATTAGGTACAATTTCAGTTATTTACATAATAAAAATATGGCGAATTAAAAGTATGTGCATAATAAAAATTCAAGAATTAAAATTATGTATATAATGGAATATCAAAAATTAAAATTATTTACATAAAAGAAATACGGCGAATTAAAATTGTTTGTAATAGTAATTAGGCGAATTAAAATTATGTATATAATAGAAATTCGAGAATTATTGTTATGTACATAATTGAAATTTGGTGAATTAAAATTATGTACATACACTCGCGGATAAAAAGTTTGTTTAGTGCGCGCAAAGCGCGCGCGCTTGTATTATCTAGTTAATTATAAATTAATAAACTTATATAAATATATCAACCAGATTGTTTAGAAATAAAATAAGTAATACAATTATTCTGTATCAATTATTGATGAGAAGTTTTAAATTTTGCAATTTTATCTTTTAAGAAAATATAAAAATGTAATATTTCTAGATATATTAACTTCTTCAAATTTTTAATTGTTTGTATAATAATAATTTCTCATTATAATATATATATATATATATATATATATAATATTAATGATTGAAATTAATAAAACTAATATTTGAATATCTAATGATATAAAGAAAATCTCATTTGCATAATTTTATATTTTTAAGATGCTCGAATAGAAATATTACACAACTTTGAGATTTTAATTATAAATTGAGATATAAATTAGAGTTTATCTTAATTTGCCATTAAATTGTGTACGTGCAAATCTAAATAATATTTTAATCTCTTCTATCATTTAATTTAGATACACAAGTTTAATTTAGATACACGAGATGAAATGCAAGTAATATAATGCCACAATATTAAATAATCATCATAGAATAATACAATAAACAATGAGTTATATAAATATATTTTAAATTTTAATGAATTTACTTACCAATGCGGATTTGCTGCATGGCATCAACAAATGCTGAAAAAAAATTTACACATTTATTATTTTTAAAGCAAAATACTGATTTAAATATATGTATTTATATGAAATTTGCTTCTTTCAAAAATCAAACTGATCAACTTCAATTTTTATAATTTAATTTATATTTTCTAAAGTACATCATATGTATATATGTTCTATATATAAATTATATACAAACTTAAATAAAAATAATTATTTTACATTTATTTTAATAGAATGTGTATATAATAATTAGTTTAATAACTCAAAAAAATTTTAATTTAATTATAAAAATATATGTAGTTAAATTAATAATTGCTTCAATAAAATACTTCAAATGAGTATTAAATAAATAAAAATTTTATATATATTCATGAGTTTAAATAATAAAATATGTTCATGAAGAGACACAAACGAAGAGAGAGAGAGAGAGAGAGAGAGAGAGAGAGAGAGAGAGAGAGAGAGAGAGAGAGAGAGAGAGAGAGAGAGAGAGAGAGAGAGAGAGAGGAGGAAGAGTTTTTATTGAAATAATTAAATAATAGTGATAATAAAATAAATTTCTGTACCAATTGTTGCTCCGTCAGTTTTTTAACCAATGCTTCTAGGATTGGAATTTCACAATCAAGAATCAACGCGCGATAATTTATTTGGCACTCCCGACATTTATTCACCTGAAACATACAAATAATATAAATCATTTTAATATCTCGCATTATATTTTTGGCGTAAACCAAACCAATTAATTTCGCATACCTTTAATTAAGATAATTAAGTTGTAATTATATAACTCGACACTTTCCATATTCGCAGATAACTTTGATATATTTCACGGATAAATACGAGATGAAAGAAAATATTCTCAACGCGAGTTAACGCGAACGAACCATGTTAGTAGATGACTACCGTCGAAAAATGAATAATAATTGAGAAAACACGGTTAATCGCAATCGCGCGCGTTTATTTACATACGTTACATCACATACGCCCGATATTTTAAGCACTCTCGATACTTATTTGAACACGGAATTGATTTTTGACGAATAAAACAACTATATAACGCGAACGTGTTTTACACGTGTGACTTCGAGCGGAAAAAACGCGAAAAATGGCAACCAATTTGAACATAGCGGTGCGTCCCTAGATCACGTGACCGCGACATCACGTGACACCCGCAATGTGAAGTATATGGCGCCAAAAAAGGATTAAATCAAAATACAAGAGAGGTTAAATTTAATTTATTAAACAGTTTATGATTAATTAACAGCGCAGAAAGCATTCGAGATAACTTTATTTTATTCTATATAATTCTATATTATGCTCTATTATATACCATGTATTTTTTTAATGTGTACGTATATTATTATTGATATATGATATATAAAATTATAAACAATAAAATTCTGTTATCATCCAAAATAAATATAAACTTGATTGATACTCTCTTTAGACAATCTATATAATTATTAGTGAATTTTATTGTTGCAAGATCTAAAATCAGCATTGCGATTCTTTTGTTTTTTATTCCTTTTACTTAAGTATAAAACACACCTTTTGACGTATAGTAGATGACAGCAAGCATTTTCTTCTTCAATCTGTTGAAATATTGATTCGAAACAGACCAACCCAGTGAGAAATTACACCGCAATTTGATGTAAGAGACGTTGATTCGACGTCTTTTTAACTAGTGATTTCTCAAGCCTTGGCACGATATAAGTGATAGTGATAATTGAACGTGTATACATAGTAATTATGTGGGAGAATTATTAGCATGCAACAGAGGCACGCGAGTATCGAGAATCTGTGGTTAAATAATTTCAGCTTCCAAAAGTGGACGTGATTCATGTGATGGCGCTATTATGCACGGCTTTATAATTGTTACCATCGTTAAAAAAACAATGACATTACCAACCGTTTTAATTATACCAAGAATAACAAACATTTTAACAAATTTTTTTATTATTGAAAATGGAAAGTTTCTACTGCCTTTTCAAATAGAAAACCATTTATTATTTTTTTAAAGATTACAATTTTTGTTTTTCACTCCGCAATAATATTACCAACTGTTACTTTTTTCACTTTGCAATATATTGCAGCGATTTTTTTTAGTCATGTTGGTCATATGTAGTCATGTTCACGTCGTAAAATCATCGGTCTCGTCGGTGCTTTCGCCTTCATATAAAAGCAGGTAAAAGCATGTAAAAATGTATAAAAATATGGACATCGAATCTATCTTATCTATCATCCGGCGCAGTTAGACAAACTACAGCTTTACATCGCATAAACGACGCGAAAAATGACTGGAATCTGATATATAAACGAGAAAATGATTTAATTATAATCGCGCAGATCAGCGTAGTTTTTGTCGGCGATAAAATTGCGATCGATTGTGCAGCGAGATATATCGCGATATCTCGATTAACTCTCGCGCCCGAGGATCGATAAAGCGAGGAGTGGGAGTTGCGTCAGTGTCAGAGTGTCAGTCCGTCAGTTGCGTCGCGTGTGGTTTTTCCTCGTAAATTCTCGGATACCAACATGTCGGCGACGATGACAGCCAAACTGCAGGACGACATGAATAGTATACCGCTCGCCGATGATGATCCGCAAGGTGAGTTGAAGTCACTTAATTCCGCGACGTCTCTCGCCAGCTGTTCGTTGCTATCCTCCGCTGTCGAAGGAGTTATAACCTAGCTAGTTTATTGCGAGCTCACTTTGCACGCCCTTGTCCGAATCTTAATCTTTATTTAGCGCCGTTCACTTGGCTACGCTCATTTAATTCACTTGACTTTTATCTGTCACATTGACATTGCGTTTATTTGTTGATATCAATATGAAAATTATATCAGTCATATATAACACACTGAGTTTAACACGCCTATTTATGCACTGAATTTCTCTAAACTTGATTTTGCGATATGAAACGACACTGAATATTAGGTTTCAGTATTGTCTCTTTCTTTTTATATTTACCGATTGTGTTCTTTGCTTGCTTGAATCCTCAGGTCCTCAGGAATGCTTAATAATTCACACCTTTCACGCATATTGCAGTTTGTCCTGTGTGAAGATAGCTTTCTGATCTTTTTGATTTTTATTGCGGAACTTAAGTGCTAAAATTATTTCTCACACATTCATAGTAATAATACCAGAAGAGGAAATCTTAGACAATGCTTCGCATATATCTGACGCACTAGGAAGAGGACGTAGTATGGATTCTATTCCATCGACATTTACTAACGGAAGCTGTAGTCCAAACAGTAAGTGATAGTGTTATTATTGATCTCTTATGATATCAAAGAAAAAAGTATGTATTTGGTTTTGACATTTTATATGTAATTCAAATGAATATATACATAATATTAATTAAACAGAATTTTAGTTTCTATTTTTAAATCTTGTCTAATTTTATTATATAACTTTTATTTAAAAAATTATAACAATTTTAATCTTTGATTTTTTATTTTATAGATGATAACATATCAAAGCAGTATTCAAAAAGATTGAAATTGATTATAGGTTTAGATCCAGATATCAGCCCTGATGAACAGGAGGAGAAAGCTAGACTGATTGCACAGGTTCTCGAACTGCAAAATACTTTAGATGGTGAGTGCATAATTTTACAAAAGTTAATGATGCAGATGAATATACATATATATATTAGTATTTTTTAATATACAAATATATGCTTTATTCATTTAGATCTATCACAGAGGGTGGACAGTGTGAAGGAGGAAAATCTCAAACTGAGAAGTGAAAATCAAGTTCTGAGTCAATATATTGAGAATTTAATGTCAGCATCGAGCGTGTTTCAGTCAACAAGTCCTAACACTAAGAAGAAGTAAACAACCCAATTATTTGAATAAATTAGATTAAATTATTAAATTAAATTTATGAACCAGCTATGCAGAATCTTGAAATCATTGTAATTGTTTTGGCTATTTTGGAAAGTGCTTACATTTAGGCATTTAATTATAATGCTTATTTAACAATATTGTAAAGCTTTTAAAAATATCGTTCAATGTATTATTTTTTATTCATTTTTGTTAGCTCGTAAATATTTTTTACGAAAAAGCAAAGTATCTCTGATAAAACTTTACTTTTAGTCAGATATAATCAAATATCCTTTTAAAATAATTAAGAGTATTTATAATGCATTCACTGTGACTGTGACTTGAAACACGCTTATAGTTACGATTGTGTGCACCAAAGAATTTTGCATTTCTACAGTTCCCATGAAATATAAATAATTTATAATTTTTAAAGAAACTTGTTAAGTAATTTTATATACAATACAAAAAATTGTTTTAATTTTTCTAATATTTAGGATTTATTTATTTATTTGAAATTAATGCGCAATATTTAGTATTGATAATATATTTGTTTTAATTTATTGTCTGAAGTAAATAATTTATAAAATTTAAAAAAATTTCTAATTAATTTGAGTTACATTTTTTATGTTTTTATATATAATATATGCGCTGTTAACTTTAGTTAATTAATTTTGCAGAAATGCACACTTTACATTTTTAAAGTTGAGTATTAAGACATTGAAGCTATATTTCGTCGAAGTATCTCTTGTTTCAATATAACTCTTGCTTGGAAATTTTGACATTCATTATATATATATATATATATATATGCATTGTATGTAGATGTACAAAAGAGATAATGTATAATTATATACAATTACAACACTATAAATTGATGACATGAAAAATTAAAACATATATGCTACATATATAGTATACGTTGCAAGCAAGATGCTACTTTAAAATTTGCTATGTACGACGGAACGAGTTGAGTTACACGTATGTGCAACTCATCTTGCTTGTAAACGTATCGAATCGACGCGATTGGCGCATTTAATAATAAATATATATTTACTGCGAATGAAAAACTGCAACTTGCGATAGAGTTTCAGTTTGAGGGCACAAGCAGAATGCACAATCCCAAATTATCCCATTGTTGAGTGAAACACAGTGTTATAATAAACATTATATTCTATTGGAACATGTTACTAATTGATCAATGCCTCGTTCGAATGAATTTTTTATCTGTCAACATTTTTTTCTCGTAAAACTCATTCATCCTTTGTTCCATTTCCGAACAGTTAATTTATTATGAATAAAATATAAGAAGCATATGTCTGTGTACTAAAATTTTCTGATTAATCTTCGACTAGTCCTCTTGAATAGGGGAAAATTGTATTGCTTTTTGTCCCCAAGATGTTTTCGGTCCCGGTTTTGTCCGTCCATTCTTCTTTATCCCTATCCACCATCCATAATGCACGTATTTGCGTGATCGAAACGCATCGTAAGAACCGATACGCCATTGTTCCCATTCGGTATTATCATTAGTCATATTTGCCTAAAATCAAAATTATAAGAGACAAGTCAGACTTACAATCAATTTTTATTATCTTTAACTTTGTATTAATATTTATATAAATATTTGCATTAATATTTATATATATAAGTATTTAAAAAAATGATTTATCAACTACATTTTGCATTTAAATAAATTAAATTATTCTTAAAAAACTTAAGCAATTTTTTAATATAATTTTCTAATTATTAAAGTAATAATTCTGTTATTATATTTTTATTATTAAATAGAATTAATCTTGACAAAATATGAGAATTAGATTAAAAAAGAATTAGTAAGATAATTTTATAAAACTGTAATATGTAGAATTTTACCCACGGAATAATAGAATGTTATATATATAATTTACGGATATTAATACGTAGATAGTGTTTCACAACATATGCTCCCCCATTCTCTCGCTAGTAAAAGCTTTTTTCATAATGTAACAATCCGTTGAAAAGCACTACATTCTTTGATAATATATTTTTTATTTATATTTTATATTCATTATCTTACCTCTCCATATAATCGACCTTTTTTATCAAATGCCAAATAAAGTCTCGTTTCGACACTTTGTATTCTAATAACGCCGAAAGATACCGGCGTCACATGAAGCAAAGCTGCAAAAGTATAAGCTCTTATAAAAAGAATAATTTATAATGTTATTAATAATAATGATGATGATAATTATAGAATTCTACACGAAGAGAATTTTCTCTTAGAATTTACATTGAAAATCATGGTAATCAAACCGTGAGAAAATATGGTATATATATTGGAAGAATTTTTTAAAAATATTAATATCTACACCTAATATTAATATTAATATAGTAAAATTAATCGAATATATTTTATATCTTAATATGGTAGATATTAATATTTTTTATTGTGGTAAATATTAATCAGAGAAACTCTTATAAAATTCTTCCGATATACCATATTATCTCACGATTACCATAACTATCAGGGCAAATTGTAAGAGGAAATTCCCTCTGTGTAAATAATAGTTGTGACATGTATCATATATTTTAGGTCTTTGTTTGATGTCATTACACTCCAGTTAACATTTCATGACATGAAATACCGTGTGACTCCTTGTTGTCAGATAATCCCCGAACTCGTCCGGACGGTGTAATTGCCAGATGATATCCCGTTCGACAGTACAATTTTATTATCCGACTATTATAGACAGGATTTTTCGCTGGCTGTCGAGGATCCCATATTACATATGGCGTATATTTACGTGATTTGGAGTTACGATCGACGTTACGCGGCGTTCTATAATTAACAATCACATAATAACCCATAAATTACTTGTGTAGTTACATGTTATGTGATAGAAAGAAAGAGAACAAATTTATTTTTTTTTATAAAAAAAGAGTTTTATCATACAAAATTAATACGCGTAAAATATCTAATCGTCGAAAATAACTAAACAAATCAAGAAAATAATAAAAGAAAAATTGAATAAATTAATAGAAACTAAACAAAAAATATATATATGTTTGTGAATTTGTGTATGAAAAGTCACACACATACATGCATAAAAACAAGTATATGAGAGCTATAAAGATTGTGATAATTAAAACATTAGCGGTATGACAAATTAGTTTTATAATTACGATGGGCATAAAACAAAATTACGTGAGAGATAAAAATTTATTGCGTTCTTGGAGGAATACTCTTAGCAATAAAAAGAAATTGTAATAGTCTTTCACATATATTTAACAGAAATCCTGTAAAATATGTGTATAAATATGTGTATACTAAATTAATATTTAATTATATGACTTTTTTCCAAGTTTTCAAGTATATTGCGCCTCTTAAGCCGTTAGTTGTTGGAATTGTCTTTGCTTTCATATGAAGGGTATTCACGTCGTTATATAGATGCTGGAAAATATATAGGTCGGCCGGTTTTTCAGGTCAGCAAGCCTCGTGAATGAAGCGCATCACGCTATACTATAAACGCTCTCGCGCACTTCGTTAATTTTAAACCGATTCTCGAGGGGAGGAAACGAAATGTCAATAGGCTTTGTTCGAAAGTTACGCGAACAGGGCCGTCGTCATCAGAAAAACTGCGTTAAAGCGGTTAATTTACATGGCTTCGTATACGAGCCGTGCCCAATAAACCTTCCGTGTAAACAAAATTTACTTCCAGGCGAAAATAAACATTACATTGGAGACCTTATTCGCGAACTATACGTTTCTTTAATCTTATTGTATATTTATCAGATAATTTATGAACGTCTAAAATTGTATTCAAAGAAAAAATAAATTAAATTTTTAAATGCAAATTTTTTGTAAACTTTTCATTTTTTCTTATTAAAGAAACTTAAGTAACTTACAAAAATATATATATTTAATCTATTAATTTTTATTTAACGTCATTTTTGTTCTCTTTATTTACTACTGTATCACTCTTATTTATCATTTATTTCTTATTGCAGTTATTAATTTCAAGATATATTATTAAAAAAGAGATATATTATCTATTAAAGTATATCATCAAATCGCTATCAAAAATTAAGATTTATCAATTATTTTCTTAACTATTATTTTTTTGGATGTTCTAAAAAACTTCTTTTATACAAAACGTTTCTTCTAATGAAAAGATAGAAAAAATGATAATTCTTTTTTTTTTGTATTTGCGAGCAGAATGACATTTGGTTTCTATTCGAAAGGTGCAATTTGCATCTCGGCAATTCAGAATGTCGATTATAATTTCGCACGTCACGTTAAGGCGAGAACGTTGCTAAATTCATGAGAAATTGTAATCGCGATACCACGTATGACACTATGCTCGTTCGTATCGTTAATAACACAAACTACACCTAATGCATCTGCTGACCCTGTGGCGATATGGAGCATAAAGTTAATCGAGTCAAGTGATCAATGAATGTACGTTATAACGTTGGAGGGCGACTATGTAATGACAAAAGACAAACGCATTTGCCGTGTATCTAGTGACGACTAGACATTTTACCTTGTTCCATTAATTATGCTAATTCGTTCATTTACGCAAATTACACGTTTCGAGGAAACTTGCAGACAATATGCAACGGATATGCATATATAGTTAACTATGATATAACATAGTTAACTATAATATAATTATTCTTTACAGATTAGCCGATAATTTCCGTGTTTTACATTTTTAGATATGTTTTAACTAGACTCTTAAATGTGCAAAATAGGAATCATTAATTGTATTGCATATGTGTGTGTGTGTGTGTGCGACTTGCGTTTCGATTTAATTATATATTCAGATGATTATACCCGTTCCCGTCAAAGGTGACGGTCGTGGTCGGAGGTCTTTTAGTTTCTCTCTTCCGGATTTCGCGAGCGATTTTTTTCCCGTTTTCCATTATGTCATCGTCTTCCTGGGGGGCTAGTTCCGTGTCATAGCTATCGTCGCTGCAACTATCGTCGATATCGCTGCATTCCTCATCGCACGTCGGTGGTTCTAGATTTTCGTGAATCCAGCGTAAACTCATTTTCGGTTTCCTTACTGCTGCATAAATTCACGGACACATTATTTACACACTGCACATTTGGTACTAAATGTAGCCATCTGATTTACTTAGTTAACATTGAAACCACATTCAACCGTGATTGTCATTGACCAAGAATCATCACAACCACGCTTGCGGTTGAGCGTGAGATGTAATTATGATCCATAATAAATGTATATTTGTGAATTATACATCGATTGTTTGACAACAAGAGACAAAATTCGACGATTGCTCGAACATATAAATTTACACATTTTCAATGCCAAAATTGGACAATCACACGTTTAGAAAAACATTAAACTTTTTCTTAATTACATCAGGGAACGAAAATATAATGGTTTTTATATCAAATTACTATACATATATTGATTTTATCATCGAACTATACAATATTGCATTTTATCATTTTTTTAATTTACCAAAAATGAATATTTTTATTGCCATTATTTACTGCAAGTTTTGTTGTATTTTTTAATTTATCCGACAATACAGCTATATGTTTATATTAATGAAAATGCTATAATTAAAATTTGTAGAAATTTATTGCTTTTTAATATTTTATATTTTTCTTTGATAACTTTTTCCATAAATATAATGATAAAAATAACTTAATTATATATGCGCTATAATTATTTTATCAACAAAATCAAGGCGATTTTAACACTCTGGAGTAGTGTTATATTCTAATCCGTCGAGAAAAAAGATCTGTGAGAAAGTAAGTGAAATCTCTATTCTGAATGTTGGGAAACACCCACGTGTGCGAAAATTTTTATTCGGAGCAAGAGTAAGCATTACAGTGTTCGAGATTTAACGGTGGTCTCGGTCTACTAATGGCCATGCGCATCGGGTGTGCAGATAATTGCGCATCGGGACGTACTTACGCACCAATAATGTTAAACTAATTCAATAAGAGCAGAAATATGCCAGACGAATTAAACGTATCGAATTCAGAAAATAATTATCCAGAAAATATACGTACTGCAATAATGAACTTAAATCTTCTTCAAGCTTGACAGCAGCATATGCACTATTATTTATAGCAAACTTTACATCGTATTATTTATAAGAGAAGCACTAAACATCGAATGCATTACAATATATTACATTATACTTTTTTTCACACACTTTTACATATACGCCTATATATATATATAAAATATTTTGAAAAATTAGGTAGAAATTCAGACTGAAGGAAAAATTCTGTCGAACTTTGTTCACATAATCAAGAGTAGAGTAGAAAATAATTTTTTTTTTTCGATCAACACGACACTTTAAATAAATCCAACGAAAAAAAAACTGATCTCTTTCGCGCCCGTCTCTTGAGGATGCATCAAGCTTTGATGATCGTGCAGGCACCCACCTACCTGGATGTTCCACGTTTATCACGCGACTGAGCCCGATTCTCCCGTGGCTCATCGAATAATAGCAGACATGACGCCGGCCTACTGACAGTCGCCGCCGTCGGCGTCGGCGGTCTACAGATTCCTGGTGGAACGATTTAAAAATGGAGCACGCCACCAAGCGCATGCACGCGCATCTTTTTTAAAACTCTCTCTTTAAAGAGTCATTATTAATTATTAAACGTGCTATTTTGGAGGCGTGTTATTTTGATAATATTCCTCGTTGAGATGCATACCTTTTGATCTTTTAATTGTAAACTACGAATTAATTCGACGTGATTTAACTTCAAATGAAACTATTCGAGAGAATTAATTGGAATTTTCTGATATAATTCTCTCTCTTGCTCTTCTTTTTATAATTTATCATATTATTTTATTATTAAATCTTCCGTTGCAATAGATAAATTAATATACATTTTTATAAAGGAACACGGAGAGAATTTTCTTTTAGAATTTACCCTGAAAATCATGGGAATCGTGGGACAATATGGTATTGGAAGAATTTTATTTCTCTGGTTAAATATTTACCACAGTAAAAAATATTAATAATATACATAGTAAATTTTACTATGTACATAGTAAATGTAAATTGTACATAATAAATTTTACTTAATCGAACATATCTTATATCTTATTATGATAGATATTAATATTTTTTATTGTGATAAATATTATTCAGAGAACTCTTATAAAATACTTCCAATATCATATTGTCCTCATATTGATTACCATAATTTTTAGGGTAAATTTTAAGAGAAAATTCTCTCTGTGAATATATAATATAAAATGATATTAATTTGTTTCTGAAATATTCAAACTCTCTCTCTTTCTTACAATCCATATAATATCCATACAAAATTACAGTATTCTAATTTACCAGCAACATTTTGATAATATAAAATATTAATAATTCCTGCATATATTGAAAATATTATGTGTTAAGTTTAGGGTATTTAAAATAGTATGATTCCTTGAAAGATTACAAATTTATATTATTAGATATTTTCTTTGCATTTTCTGTTGATATATACAGATGGCGAAACAGATACAATAGCAATTCTATAATTAACAAAGAGTAAGAACAGCCAAAAAATTACTTAGTCGAGTCACAATATTTTTATAATACAAAATATTTTCAGTTATATTTTGAAAATGTTTAATTATAATTGATACTAAAAAACTTGATACTGAAACTTTATTAATTTTTTAGATACAGATATATTGTACGTATAATTTTTTATTTATATTTTGATATTTTTTCTATCTGCAATATGAACAAGAAGAATTAATACTGAAGATTTAATGCTGAAATTTTTTTAAGTATTAAATTTTGGATAAAATAAAATTTAAAAAAAGGAAGTGTAATCTTTAAGATAAAATATTTTAGTTTATTTAGTCTTTCAAATTCATTCAACCATTGATATTAGAATACAGCACACAAAATGTTATTTCTCGTAAATTTGTGTGTGACAAAACATGAGCTGTTTTATGATTCTAGTGCCAATAGTTGCCCTGTTTTTATGAACAATAAGGTCGTCGTCCCTCAGAGTTCACTGTTCCGCGTAGTTATATCTACAGGGATGTTATAACTATCGATCGAGCGTTTGACACTTCGATAGACTATTCGTATAACTAATAACGATCAAGCTCGAGCACAGTATACGACACTATTGAATCACAGCAGGGTAATAAAGTACATGTGCTAGCATTAATCCTTTATGGAGTGTCACGCAATTTTCGCTGTACCACCGTGAAGTGATCGGGGATCAGTTTTAATAGACACAATTTTTACATAAAACGACTGATAATAATTAATTAAATCTGTCAAAGTAGCGATTATAATAGTTAAAAAATACATACAGCTCGCAAAATTATTAAAATAATTGTATTCAATTTATAACTTTAGCACGATCGTATATATCGTCACTGTATATGTATGTATGTAATATATTATTTTAATTTAAAAATTCTCTTATAGAATCTATAATATAAATCACAGATTATACGGTAAAATGTTTAATACAAAACAAAGAAAAATTTCAAGCATTTATATGAAAGAATATAAAATATTTTTTATGTTAATTCTTTAATATATACATATTAAATTCAGAAATAAGAAATAAATTATGGAATTTTTTTATATTTTGCATGTTGGAAACACTTTTAATATATAACATAACATACTGCAAACATATATGCAACAGTCTTTCTCTATATAGATGCATGCAAAAGTTATTAGAATCAAGATAAATAAATATATATAAATATATATATAAAATATACTAAAATGCATCTTCTTCTTCATGGATTATGTTCACAAGAATGCATAAATTCGTTGAAACGTTGAATCAAGCGGCGTCCACAAAGAGAGCAACTCCATGACAGTGTCTATCATTACCATACTGTCGATGGATAGCTCTCTTCATAGCGAGCGCTTCATCCCTCAGTTTTAAATTTTCTTCCATTTTATTAATATTTCCATGATAGCATAACAAAGTTATAACATATATAATTAACAAATATTAAATAGAGAGAAAGAGAACGAGAGTATATTTAAAGAACCTTGTTCTTTAAATATGTTTAAATAATTATATATTTTATAATCCTTTTAGACAGAGTTGTACTCTCAAAATATTGCTTCTTATGTAATGTATGCGAAGAAACTTCTTCGAAGAAAAAAAGTCTATTTACTAGGTTCAATAAATTTTGCGCGATAACTGTTATCATGCGAGTCATTATACACAATACCGCGTAGACGCAGTATCGTAAGACGAGAACTCTGAGTAACTTCGTCAGCAAAGTTTTAACCTACTAATATCAAAAAGGATTATTAGATTCCCAATTTTATTTTTCTGAACTATTTATATTTATTTTATAATATCAATAACTTTTGAACAAAATTGACAAGAATTAAAAATAAAAATTTGTCGGTATTATATATGCAATATAATAATTATATAATATTTAACGTATATTTTTCATGACATTTTACACTTTTCAAAAATCGTTTTTCAAGTACAAAACTCTTGAGAATTGTCCTCAAATATAAAATATTTAGAGAGAATTTTGTTTTTATAAGAGGTATTTGATTTCCATCTCTCAATTTTCAACCCTCGACTTTGACCTCTCAGATCTCTTTCTCTCAGCTTTTTTCCTAATCTTTTAATCTACCAAAATACTTTCGTATATACTTTGTTTTTAATTACTAATTATAATTATAATTTCTCATATTGCTCCAAATTTTGTATTACAATTTCGCGTACTGTAATTCAATCTTATTCTAATTTTGTTAAAATTCAATGAGATACGTACATATCTGCTGCAATATACCTCGCCACGCAAGTGGCTGCCACTCTTTCATTTGCAGAGCTCATCATCTCTCTGCCTCATTTGTAATACACCAACCAATATTAGCGACGACCTGCTACCAGTATAACTGGTCCGCAATCTCGACTCAAGGAAGAAGGTAAGTCCCTCACGCAAAAGTGTTGTTGCTTTTAGCGGCATGACTTGTTATCAGGAAGGTGCGAGGAACCTTTTTCTCTTTAACGCCGCCATCTGATTGCACCGCAAACATAACCGCTTTGCTACCAGCTCGTGCCACGACTTGTTAACACATCCTTTTGGCCAACCAACAATGCCGCGAGCACGAGAAATTGCAAACAGTTCGGTGCCCCCTAAAATTAATCGTCGAATTAAAATATATGTCTTTTTCATAAGATTTCTTTATTGGTACATCAAAATTTATATAAAAGATATTGAATTTTTTGTAGCAATTACGTGGATCTATCATTTTTTATATCGTTTCGGTTTCTCCATCTCGTAATAATTAATAATTCCACGATTCTGTTATTAAAAGATTTAAATTTTATATAGATTGAATTTCAAATTGAATAATTTATATTTTAATAGCGATAATATATTATATAATCCATCTTTCTCTACGAATAAAAGATAATCTTTATTGTTTTTATACTTTTAACTTTTGCTAGACAATAAAATTGCAAGATGTTAGTATTCGATGCTCGTAAGATTCCGAAGACGTGCCAGCTTCACGTCATCCGTAATTAACGTGTTTCAACTAATCCATGTACAAACCTGTACGACATAAACGAACGCGGCGACAACGTTCCCGATGGAGCAAAATCATTCTGCGTTCTATTTACTCAGATGACATTTCCACCGCAGTTACAAGCAACTGCTTAAACAGTCGTTGATTCGACAATTGCAGAATAAAAGGTATACTGGAATTTGAGGGGAACTTTAGAACATTTTCAAACGCATTTTGTTCATTTTAGATTAACGCAAATATACAGTTAGAATACGATTGTTATTAATTTTTGTTTATGTTTTTTAGTAGAGATAATTTGTATAGTACAATTATTTATTTACATATAATAAAAGAGTTAGACTGGGGTGTCAATAAAATGCTCTCTGATAACGAAATTTCTTAATTAGTTTATTAATCTACGATTATTTTATAAACTATCAGATTTTACTATTCTATACAAAATAAGAATTTTAGGAGCAAATTTAAATATAATCTTTTTTATAAGTATAGAAAGCCGAGTTGAATGTGACTAATTTTAAATATGGATGCAATTCTCTCTCTTATATATAAAGCATTAAAAATTCCTAAATAAAAATACATGGCTATATAAGAACATTATCTTTTTAAATTTAAGATATTATATTCCTCGTATAAAAAACAATTCCTTTACACTGAAATTATCGAGATTAATTAATAAACTATTACTATAACGTTCAGAACGTTAGCCCGTGTTTTCTATTACTTGATAAACGCGCGATGAAAACCTACGAGGGATCGTCTTTGAGAGCTGCGATTGCACCTTATCAGCGAGCGATGTGATAAGGTGATAACGAAGTGACTCGGTTCGTTATTACCGAAAATCCTCGGTAACCTCGGCGATATAATTCCCAAGTAGTAAATTTTAATA